TAGTAAGAAAATTCTGACTACTAATCACAATTCAACTGATTTTTGATTGATGTTAGTTTTTTAGGAGGTTGAGAAGATTATCATATCGTGAGATTCCTTTGTGCTTAGGGGTTTTCTTCTCATTCTTTTTTGTTCTTTGTACTCTTGACTAGCCTGCCTAGTCAATAGTTTATACTGAGGTTCAGGGATGTTCTCTGTTTATCTTGATTATGGAAATCTCTTAGTTTTTAGATTTAGCCTTAGAGTAAAATACAAGTGTTTCACTAAATGTAAAATCTGGATTGTGAAATTTGTAAATTGGATAAGAATAGAGAAGGTACATCACTGCCAGCATTTGATGAGAAGAGTGTCAAAAGAACTGAGGAGATGAAGAAAATATAATCTATACCTGAGAAGACCTTGTTACATTTCTTACTAGAGTGTGGAAAGGTTTGCAAAAGCTTAGTTAAGGCACTTGACCTGATTGCATAGACCCTCTCAGTTTGTGAAGTTAGAGAAAAAAATCCAGCCCACAAAGGAAAATATTTATGTCTCTGAGGCTGAGCAACACTACTGCCTGCCTCAGGTGCAGTTAGAATGAGGAACGCTGTGGAGAATGGCAGGCATCCACTAAGAGACAGGTCAAAAATCCTAAGGTAGAAGCAATCACTTAGTATTGCTAATAGTTCTTTGGTAACTGCTCTGTTCCCCTCTCTGTTCTTCTTTAGTTTGTTCTTAATTCCCTTTTGCTGAAATATAACCTGATTTTAGCAGTTTTGTTGAAGGAATTGGGAAAACCTTAACAGTTTCTTGATTTCCAGACTTATTCCCAATATCTGCAGCAAACTTGAGCTATGACAACCACAAATTTCTTATTGGGATGCTCTCATCCTGGAATGAAACAACTTTTACAGTATATCATTTTTCAAAMATAAACTTGGCATCCTGAAAATGTCTTCAAGGAATCCAGGAATTCTTCAAGGAATCCTTAATTATTTGCACCATTCGAAGGACAATTTATCTTTTCCCCCTGATTTACAGAAAAAAAAAAACCTGTTAAAGGAGAAAAAGAAGCTGCTTTAGAGAATACATGAGCTAAAGAGCTGACAGCATGAGTTGTGCATGATAGTAGTAGCAGTACTGGTGAAAGCCCAGACTTTGAATCTTTCTAATCTGTGTTGGGTATTGAATACCAGATTGAGTAAACTGGCACTAAAAATGGAAGGTAGGATGCCCTCTACCCCTTTTTAAAAGTTGTGCAATRGGTACATTGAGAAGAGGAGAGCAGGTAGCTGGTGAACTCTTTTGCAGCAGCATGGTCCAGCTGTCATGTTGGTCATCACAGAGAACACCGACAAATGGCTGCTCATGGTTACATTTTTCATTGCTCCTCCAAATACACCATGTACTGTGAAACTAGGAATAACCTCCTGAAAATAGAAAAACACCAATGTCCATTTATTCTGTTTGGAAAATAAGTATTTTCTAAATGCTTTAAAAGTTTTCTGTCACTTTCAGTCAGCAGATAAAAAGAAGAAATGTGTCATGCAAATGTTGTCTAAAGATAAAAATTAAAATAAAAAAACMAGCAAAAATCAGCTCTTGTAATATGACTTTTCTTTCAGTTCTGTTTCTCTTTCACTCAATTAAACTATTTTGGATGATCTGGTAAGATTCTCAGTGTTTTCATCTTCAAAAGCTAAGATTTACTGTCTGCTGGAGCAGGGCACAAGAAGTAACCTCTTCATTAGTATTTGATCATTGTAACTTCTGACTGCAATCCAATTAGAGTTTGTTAATTTTACTGGTGTTTTTCTGTAAAGAAAGAAGCAAATATAAATTCATGAACAAATAAAATTATGTCCATATATAAAACTAAAATTTAAAATATAAAATCACATATCCTTGCATTAAAAAAACATTAAATATGAGCGAGATATTTGAAAAATTAAAAATAAAATTGAAAATTTTATTTAAAAAAACACATCCCCAAAGAATATTCCAGAACCAGAGAAGTGTCTGAATGCCTTGGCCCTCCTTTCAGTTCAAAAACAGTCACTTGATTTAAAATGCTACACTTCTATTTCAGAGCAATGGAAGGCTTTGCTCAGCCTTTTGTAGGACACATCACACAGAGGCTATTTTTCCAAACTCAGGCTCAGAGGGATGTGACCCACTGGAGKCAAAGTGCAAGGCAGAAATACAAAAACATGCTTTTGCATCAGCTACTTTCTCTTCCCTTTTTGTCCTTCTTTATTCAGATGGAGCTGCCTGTTCAGTCTTCCAGGTTCATTCATGCTGTTTGATTCTCTATTTGAAGGAGAAAAAGACTCTGGCACCAGAATCACTGTTATTTTTTGTGTTGATGTAAATGAGGGTAGAAGTCAGTTTAAACATCCAGTCAGGGCATTTTCCTGAATAGGAGCAACTTGCGGTGACACAGAGCTGCCAAAACTTAACAATTCCCTGCCCTTCATGTCTGACATGAAGAGTGGGCACAGYGAAGAGGACGTGATCAAAGCATTCAGCCCTCACTGATCACCCACAGAAATCTGTGTTTAAAGGAAAAGGATCCTGAGCCACAATATTTAATTTCAACCAAGCTGAGTGTAAGGCAGCTATGTTATTGGTGATATTTCTTATTTGACAAGCACATTTTACTTCTTCCTTAATTAATATAAGGATTAACCTATAATGGYTACTAGTTAAAATCTCTTGACTATAAAGTAGCTGCAATGTCATGCTCACTGTGCACTCTTTGCATGCATCCTTACGATTTTAAATTTTTTGCCATTTAAAAAAGCTTTTTAAGTTTTGCAGGTTTTTGAAAAATGTGTTAAATTTCATCAGTCATGATCATATCAGCTCTGCTTCCTTGTCACCTAACTATAAACACAAAAGGTCATATACCTCAAAAAGAGTGGGACCAGGATGACTCTTCTATTCTGAATTACAAATTTAATATTATAAAAAGAAAAATATCCACAAAAACACATTTGATACTGGGAAAATTCGATTTTATATGTATTTTTCTTTAAATGTGTCACTCCACATATGCTTGAAAAGAAACTTCAATACAAT